AAAAAAAAAAAAAAGAAGAAGAAGGCCCCTGCACCACCCCCCTCCCGCCACGATCCCAACCGTACCGACGTCCAGGTGGGTGGAAAACTCTTGAACGGCCGCCGTTCACGGATTTTGGCCCCGTTTACTCGCCGGTCACGTTCACGGGACCGGAACTGGCGAGAGGCCATAGCCGCTACAGAGGACGAACATGATGACGGACATAGCCGCCAATGTGACGAAGTCAGCAGTAGTGTGTGTGTCACAGTGTGTACGTGCGTAGGAGGGTGTTTGACAGTGTGTCACAGTGTGCACGTGTGTATGTGCGTAGGAGCGTGCATAGGGGGATGTTTGAGAGGGACTTTCAGACTGGCGGTCAGACGGCATTGACGCAAGCTGTGACAAGTTGACTTGAACTGAGTTCCTGGCCAAAGGGCATATCTTTAAGTTTCTGTGTGGGCGCACGGCGCCATCTCAAGCTTGTTGCTGATTCTTATTTGACGAAGTTGTTTTGCCATCAGCACCTGCATGTATGCATGTTGGCAGTAAAATAGAGAGAAGTACGATTGCAAAGGCCTTTGGGGCTGTGTTCTGAGGGCCCCCGCTGTAGATACTCGCAAGTAGGGTGTGGTCATAAATTCGTAGGATTATCACAGGTCTCAGGGAAACCAGGCCCACTGTCACAGTGCACACCAGTAGGTAAAAAAAACAGACATATGTCTCAGAACTGCTACTGCAAGTGACCAGACCCCACCTCGGGCCTGTCCCTATTTCTCTTTCCAAGCTCTGTCATTTCAGGTGCAATTGAAAAGGAGGGTAAACCATTTGTGTCAATGCACTTCAAGATAGCCAGGATGATAATACTTATGTCTTTTGCCTTGCTTTCTCAAACAATGTGCATCTGCATTTCCAGGGAAATGCAAATGAGGAGGAGGAGAAGTAGGAGAAGGAAGAGAGGGAGAAGGAGGGAAAAATATACGGAAAAATTACTCAATGCATAAGGTCATCCCCCCCCCCCAAGAAAAGGGAAAAGTCGTAAGCCTCCCCGCAACGAAACCTTTGTATCCATTTCCCCCCAATTGGGGAAAAAAGTGCCGCAGGTCCAAAATCACTTTTGGTGTCATTTGTGCACCCTGGCTGGGCTGGTAACGGCCGATATGTAAAAATGGTGGGAAAGTGTTTTGCAGGGTGCAAAAATGACGCCTAAAGTGATTTTTGGATCTGCAGCACCTTTTTCCCGGATTGAGGGAAATGGATACAAACGTTTCATCGCCGGAAGGTTTTATGACTTTTCCCAAAAAAACAAACGAGAAACTACGCGTGCAAGCCACAAAAAGAGTTTGAAAATGCTGTTTAAATGCACTTTGGGCAAATCACAGTTTCAAATTGCAGTTTGAGCAATGTATACAGACTGGCTACGTGACACCCACGGCCGCAGCAAGGAGGCCTAGTTTGCGGCCCCTTTTCTTGGATTTTTTTTTTTGGGGTCAAAAGATACGTGAAAACAAAGTAAAAAATATTAGGTTGTAGGGTTTGCAAAACCCTACAAACCCTTTTTTTTTTTTTTTTTTTGACTTCATTTACGAATTAAAAAAAATAAGAAATAAAAAACAATTAAAACAGAAAAAAGTAAAAATAAATGAAAGGAAAGCAAGAATTCTCAGCCCACACAGACCTGAATTCAAGTCCAGACTATATATTCTCGGCCCACACAGACAAACTGTAAGTCTAATGTCTGTCTCTGTTCCACGAGCCATCCCTACTAATTTGTCGGGGCCCTTCGGAAATGAGACTGGACACAACTAGGACATGCACACCCAGACGCACACACATGTGGTCACAGTGTTGGGGTATGGGGTGGGCCCAACTTTCTTCCCTCTTGCAGTTTGATATTCAGAAGTGAGGGGCATGTTTGGCCACCCCACCCTGACCTTTTAGTTTTTTTTTGTTTCTTTTCTTTCCCACCTGAAAATGACCCCACCTCAAATTTCACTTCCTTATTTTATTTTATTTTTTGTTATGGCGGGGAATGCCATGCGCAGGCGATGCGCGCACCCCAATTTTGGGCATGTTTGTGAACGTCAAACATCTACTCCTCCCTCTCCTTGTCCTCCTCCTCTTCTTTCTCCTCCTCCTCCTTCTTCTCCTCCTCCTCCTTCTTCTCCTCCTCTTCTTCCTCCCCCTCCTCCTCTTATTCGTCCACAGAGATGGATCCGATCACGTTGATTGATAAATGAAGATCGACTGATCAACATTTTTTTCCTAGTTTTTTTTCAAGAGTCTTTCATTCCACAGCAGCATTCAACAAAGTATGACAGTCACACACACACACACACACAGAGAGAGAGAGAGAGAGAGAGAGAGAGAGAGAGAGAGAGAGAGAGAGAGAGAGAGAGAGAGAGAGAGAGAGAG